TCAGGTCACCTAAACCTAAATATCAAACTTTCTTAAAATCAACACCGAAGTTGCTTAGGGTTCATTAAATATCCTTTAAATTCACAAATTTTCTCTTTAAAACCAGAACGTTGTTGAATGTCACACAACGCTTCCGTGACCTGCTAACACACCACTCCCTGACGGAACGATGATCCTCCCCATACTGGCCAGATATTATGTATAACATTGATTATGTGTTAAGGAATATCCTTCCTTCCTAGGCTTTAGTAAGCCCCTTTATAATATTTATACTGTATACTTGTCACACTTGCCAGATGCTTCTGGTGTCATTGTACAGGGTACCTAGTGACAGCGGATCCCTTCCTCTATCGGAATAAACAATTGAAATTGAAATTGAACGTTGTTGAATGAGCCCCAAAATCGCTCAACGGCAACATTAAACCAACACACGAAGGCTAGAGGTGAAAGTCTCGATGGAGCGTATCTAAGTTTGACTCTAGTACAGTACTTTTAACCTAAACTATAGCATAAGTTAATTATTCTCAAGATGGAATCAGAGTCACATTGAGACTATACTGTAACTAAATACCTTCTTTAAATCACAAGTGAGATGAAATTTACGTAAACCTTTGATAATTAGGTTAGTTTGGTTGAGGTTAGGTTAGGTTAGTTTGGTTGAGGTTAAGTTAGGTTAGGTTAGGTTTCAGTTAGGTTTAGGAGAGGTTAGATTGGTTTCACTACAGGTAAAAGTCTCAGCGTAACATCGTCGCCGCATTAACACCATCACGGCAACGAAGCTTAGGACCAATCAGCTGCTTCCCCATATTTAAGTCTCATCTCAGCTCTGGTGTATGTATGTATGTATGTATGTATGTATGTATATTGTATACCCTATAATCCACTGTGAAGGTAAAACACACACATATTCAAAGACTTCGTGAGACTGCGGCCACTACTGCCTGAGGAGCTATGGAGAGGACGGCCTGGCGTTCAGTAATTACCTTTTTTTTTTATTTGATGAGGCGAGGAAGAACTAATGGTCTTATAGGTAGAGAGAGAGGTGGGAGGAAGGAGCCATATAAGTACAGTGACATTAAAACTACTTTTGCCGTCTCACACACACACACACAGCCAGTAGAATGTGGTAAGCGTTGAGCCAGGGGCAGGTCTGGCTCCCCGTTGTCACATACATACATAAATTAGCACAGTGAAGTACACACACACACACACAAACCAGGAAAAGATCTGCCTAAATCATTTCATTATACATGTCATGACCATAACCATACAACAAATGAGTCACCATACAACAATGAGTCACCATACAACAAATAGAGTCACCATACAACAAACCAACAAATGAGAGTCACCATACAACAAATGAGTCACCATACAACAACCACAAATGAGTCCACAACAAATAACACCATACAAAAATGAGTACCATACAACAATAAGTCACCACACAACAAATGAGGTCACAACAAGTCACCATACAACAAATGAGTCACCATACAACAATGAGTCACCATACAACAAATGAGTCACCATACAACAAATGAGTCACCACAACAAATGAGTCCATACAACAAATGAGTCACCATACAACAAATGAGTCACCATACAACAAATGAGTCACCATACAACAAATGAGTCACCATACAACAAATGAGTCACCATACAACAAATGAGTCACCATACAACAAATGAGTCACCATACAAATGAGTCACCATACAACAAATGAGTCACCATACAACAAATGACAACATGTCACCATACAACAAATAGTCACCATACAACAAATGAGTCACCATACAACAAATGAGTCACCATACAACAATGAGTCACCCAAACAAAAGAGTCACCATAAACAAATGAGTCACCACACAACAAATGAGAGTCACCATACAACAAATGAGTCACCATACAACAAATGAGTCACCATGCAACAAATGAGTCACCATACAACAAATGAGTCACCATACATAAATGAGTCACCTACAACAAATGAGTCACATACAACAAATGTCACCATACAACAATGAGTCACCATACAACAAATGGTCGCCACACAACAAATGAGTCACCATACAACAATGAGTCACAATACATGAGTACCATGCAACAAATGAGTCACCATACAACAAATGAGACCCCATACAACAAATGAGTCACCATACAATAAATGAGTCACCATACAACAAATAGTCACCATACAACAAATGAGTCACCATACAACAAATGAATCACCATACAACAAATGAGTCACCACACAACAGGTCACCATACAACAAATGAGTCACCATACAACAAATGAGTATACAACAAATGAGTCACCATACAACAATGAGTCACCATACAATAAATGAGTCACCATACAATAAATGAGTCACCATACAACAAATGAGTCACCATACAACAAATGAGTCACCATACAACAAATGAGTCACCATACAACAAATGAGTCACGACACAACAAATGAGAGTCACCATACAACAGATCACACAACAATGAGTCACCATACAACAAATGAGTCACCATGCAACAAATGAGTCACCATACAACAAATGAGTCACCATGCAACAAATGAGTCACCATGCAACAAATGAGTCACCATACAACAGGGTCTGGACAAGCCGCCGTCATCTGGCCCAAAATAGCCGCGGCAGCTCGCCCCGACCGACTGGCCGCCATATGGAACTTCGTTGACACCTAACCAAGCAAACCTAACCTAACCTAACCTAACCTAACCTAACCTAACCTAACACAGAGCGCAAAATAGGCGTTTGTAGTTTACCCCCAGTCGGCGGCCAGTCGGCCCGGCGAGTTCCCGCAACCAGTTGGGCTGCGGCCAGATGGCGCCAGTTGTCCCATTCCCCATACAACAAATGAGTACCATACAACAAATGAGTCACCTTAGGGTTACCATACAACACCGGCAGTCACCGCACAACACAACAGTCACCATACACATGACAGTCACCGCGCAGTGCCATACAACACATAACAGTCACCATACAAACAAGACGCAGTCACCATACAACACATGTCAGTCACCATACAACACATGACAGTCACCATACAACACACGACAGTCACTATACAACACATGTCAGTCACCATATAACACATGTCAGTCACCATACAACACATGACAGTCACCATACAACACATAACAGTCACCATACTACACATGACAGTCACCACCACATGTCAGTCACCATACAACACCAGTCCCATACACCTCCAGTCACCATACAACACGCAGTACCCCATACGCACGACAGTCACCATACACACAACAGTCACCATACAACACAACAGTCACCGCCTACAGCAGTAGTCACTATACAACACATAACAGTCACCATACAACACATAACAGTCACCATACAACACATGTCAGTCACCATACAACACATGACAGTCACCATACACATGACAGTCACCATACACATAACAGTCACCATACAACACATAAGTCACCATACTACACATGACAGTCACCATATAACACATGTCAGTCACCATACACATCACAGTCACCATACAACATACCAGTCACCATACAACTTATCACAGTCACCATACAACACATCATAGTCACCATACACATCACAGTCACTATACACATCACAGTCACCATACAAACATAAGAACATAAGAAAATAAGGAGTCTGCAATAGGCCGGTTGGCCTGTGCATGGCAGCTCCTGTCGAGAGTTACTACCACTCTATCATCCATCGAGCCTCCTTATAAGACTTTCCAGAGTTCCAGCACTTACTACAAAGTTGCTAAGCTTGTTCCACTCGTCCACCACCCTATTTGTGAACCGGTTCATCCCTATCCTCCTCCTAACCTAACCTTATCCAACTTAAATCCGTTGCTACAGTCCTATCCTGCTCGGATATTATAAGAACTTTATCTATATCCTTGATTCCTTTCACTTAAATTTCTATCATATCTCCCGCACTCTTCGTCTTCTAGAGAATGCAAGTTTAGTTTCTTTATTTCTCTTGATCTGGAAGGTTTCTAAGTCCCGGAATCATTTTCGTCATTCTTCGCTGCACCGATTCCAGTGATTGATATCCATTCTATAATAAGGGCACCAGAACTGAACCAGCATAATCGAGGTGCGGCCTGACTAGCGCAAGATATAGTTGCAATATGACCTCCGCACTCTTATTACTTACACTTCTAGATATAAAACCCAATACTCTGCCATATTTCGAACATTAACGCACTGTTTTCTAGGCCGTAGGTCCGGGTCATCACCCCTAAGTCTCTTCACAGGTCGACTTCTCTAGGTTGATGTTGTAGGCTGTATGCATTTGTTCTTCAATATTTATTACGCTGCACTTGCTGGTGTTGAATTTCATTTGCCATTTTTCTGACCACTCCTGCAGTTTATTTAAATCCTCCTGTAGTGCATTTGCATCCTGCCTGAATTAATCTGCCGCCCTATTTTGGTGTCATCCACAAACTTGCTTATGTCACTGCTGATCCCAGTATCTAGATCGTTTATGTAGATTATGAACAAGGTGCGGCCCTGGGGAACCCCACTGGTTACACAGCCTCACACATATTTAACGCCATCTACGCTGAACCTCTGTGTTTTAACGGTGAGTCATGCTTTTATCAATATAAAACTTTCCCCTCGTGCACCCTAACTTTCTCGGCCTCTAATGCGACTCTGTCAAACGCTTTGCTAAAGTCTCAATAAATAACACCGTAATTTTCGTCATTACCTGACAGTTAACACATGACAGTCACCATACAACACATGACAGTCACCATTCAACACATGACAGTCACCATTCAACACATGTCAGTCACCGTACACATGACAGTCACCATACAACACATGACAGTGACCATACACATTACAGTGACCATACACATGACAGTTAACACAAGGCAGTCACCATACACATGACAGTCAACATACACATGATAGTTAACACAAGAGTCCACCACACGCCAGAGTCACCATACGCAGGCTCCACATTACCTGGGAGTTTAGTCTCGCCCGGAGGATGGAGTTTAGTTCAGTTAGTCGGTCTTCATCTGCCACGTTCAAGTCGTCCTCAGTGTCCTCCTCGTACTCGTAGGACTTGTTGTCCTCGAGGTGGATGTTTTTCTCCACCTCGGCCTCCTTAATCCAGTCGGGTATGGTGGTGGAGACGCTTCTGTTGTTGCTGCTCCAGCTGGCTGCCCTCAGGTTCTGGATCAGCTGAGAGCAGTACGTGTAGTAGAGCATTTGGGACTGCTGGACCGCTGCAAGCAGGGCCTCAGTGTCCTTGAGAGCGGCCGGAGGAAGCAGACCTTGGGCGGCGGTCGAGGTCTGTAGCTGCAGGGAGGCGGTGAGTGGAGCAGCTACCCGGCACGATATCACTGTCACTGGTTCCTATCCCGGCAGGACTCCCGACCGAGGAGGTTCCCGCGTGTGGCGAGCGTTGCCTCTGTCGCGGCCTCATGACTGACTGACTTACGCCTTCTCCGGCCTCCACTACATCACCATTACCCCTGGCCGGCCCCGCCCCCAACCCTTGCCGCTTGTCGCTTCCGCCGCTGCTGCTGCTGGTGATGACGGTAGTGGTAGTGGTATTCTTGTCCTCTGCGGACGGTGGCCGGACATCTAAATCACAGACCAAATCAGATGGTTTTGGTGACTCCAGTCTTGCTCTCTTACACCCCACTTCTGACGTAAATAAACAGGAGACATCCCAGGCTGTGGAGGAGGGCGGAGAGTTAGCGGATGAAGGGCGGGGAAGAAAGCGCGTGACAATGTCTTTTCTTTGGTGTGGGATATACCGACTGGCAGATGTCTGAGAGGAGCGCACCATCATGGCGTCTGCAGGCAGCTTGGTGATGGGCTGTAGGACAGTTTCCATCCGGTGCTTGGAGTCTTCCCTGAGATGTGACCAAGAGGAGTGGTGAAGTACTAGCTGACGGCGACTACTGGTGGTGAGGTCCATGGGTACGTCCTCGTGTGGTGGTCTCGCGCCCGCTAGTGTCAATATCTCCATGGTGACGTCGGGTACTACAAGGCCCGCGTCGAGATCACCTGAGGCTCAACAAGAACTCAACCTGGCAAGGAAAAGAGAGAGAAAAATTGTGAACGGTTTATTTCGTAAAATTTCCGCTTTATAACATCCTCACTATTACCAACAGTTTAACACTACAAGGAACTAGTATTAACACGGTTTTATCCATAGACTTTGGTCAGTATAAAGGAATAGTTCGTTCAGACAACAGTTTGATAATAAAGAGAAAATCCTTAGCACATTTCCCTTCAACCAATTAACTGGCCTTCTAGTAAGAGTGTGAGGTCGAGTCTATTCCATGGCTGTGTAGTAAGGTCAGAGTCTTATTCCACTGGCTGTCTTGTGAGCGTGTGGTCGAGTCTCCCACATGGCCTTCTTGTGGTGTGTGAGGCCGAGTCTCCCACATGGCCTTTGGGTGAGGTGGTCTACTCCCACATGGCCCTAATTGTGAGAGTGTGAGCAGAGTCTACTCCACATGACCGTGGAGTGTGTGAGGCCGAGTCTACTCCACGCTTCTTGTAAGTGCATGAGGTGAGGCCAAGTCTATTCCATATGAATAGTCAAGTAAAGACCAATTCGCTAATCAATAGAGTGCAAAGTGTTCCTTATTTGTTGGGAGCTCCGTAAGGAGGAGAGCGTTGTAAAGTGTTCCTTATTACAACACAACACAACCCATTACAACAACACAACCTATTACAACACAACACAACCTATTATAGCACAACACAACCCATTACACGAACACAACCCATTACAGGACAACACAACCCATTACAACAACACAACCCATTACAACAACAACCCATTACAACAACACAACCTATTACAGCACAACACAACCCATTACACGAACACAACCATTACAGCTGACCCAACCCATTACAACAACACAACCCATTACAAAACACCAACCCATTACAGCCTAACTTATATAACAACACAACCCATTACAACACAACATAAAACCATTACAACACAACATAACATTATTATAACACAACAGAACCCATTACAACCTAGCACAACCTACTAACACAACACAACCCATTACAACACAACCTATTATAACACAACCCAACCCATTACAGCACAACACAACCCATTACAACCTACCCATTACAACCAACCCATTACAAAACCACACAAAACATTACAACACAACACAACCCATTACAACACAACACAACCCATTACAACACAACACAGCCTATTATAACACAACACAACCCATTACAAAACCAACACAGCCCATTACAACCCGGCCTGACCCATGACAACAACACAGCCATTACAAAACAACATGACCCATTACCCTGCACAACCCGTTATAACACAGCCTGACCCATTACAACAACACAACTCATTACAACCCAACACAACCTATTACAACACAACACAACCCATTACAACATAGCACAGCCATTTACAACCACAACCCATTTACAAAACAACACAACCCATTACAACATAACATTATAACACAACCCAACCCATTACAACACAACACAACCCATTACAACACGCAACCAATTACAACACAATACAACCCATTATAACACAACACAACCCATTACAACAACCAACCCATTACAACACAACACAACCCATTGCAACACCACAACCCATTGCAACATACCACAACCCATTGCAACAGGCAGTGACATGTTGGGTAGTGGCGGTGTCGAAGTAGTGTTGTGACATGTTAGTTAGTGTAGTGACATGTCGGTAGTGTTGACATCCGGTAGTTAGTGACATATAGTGTTGACAGGTAGTGGTGTGTCGGGTGGTGTGACAATGATATGGTGACATGTCGAGGTAGTGTTGTGACATGGTAGTGTAGTGACATGTTGGGTAGTGTTGTGACATGTTAGTGGTCTAGTGACGTGTCGGTAGTGTTGTGACATATTGGTAGTGTAGTGACGTGTCAGGTAGTGTAGTGACGTCGGGTAGTGTTGTGACATCGACAGAGTGTTGTGACATCGACATATCATATTGTAACACACACACACAACTGACAATGTTCTCATATGGCCCGTCACCTTACACAGTGCATCACAACAATGCCTTCAGAGTGAGAGTCGACTCAGCTGAAAGGTAGGAGGCAAACAAGCGGAAAAACCAAAGTAAACTAAACAAAAACAAGATAAAATAGACACCCGCCAAAGTCCCTCGTCGACAAGAATATCCTCTAGGATGGAATAGGGCTGGGTGGAGTGAACTGGGGGGCTGGGTGGGTGAGCAGGCTGGGTGTAAGGTGAACAGAGGCTGGGTGGAGTGAACTGGGGCTGGGTGTGAACTGGGGGGCTGGAGTGAACTGGGGGGCTGGGTGGGTGAACTGGGGGGGCTGGGTGGGTGAACTGGGGAGCTGGGTGGGTGAACCTGGGGGCTGGAGTGTGAACTGGGGGGCTGAGGTGAACTGGGGCTGGAGTGGGTGAACTGGGGGCTGGGTGCGGTGAACTGGGGGCTGGGTGAACTGGGGGCTGGGTGGGTGAACTGGGGGCTGGGGGCTGGGGGGTGAACTGGGGGCTGGGTGGGTGAACTGGGGGGCTGGGTGACTGGGGGCTGGGTGGGTGAACTGGGGCTGGGTGGGTGAACTGGGGCTGGGTGAACTGGGGGGCTGGGTGAACTGGGGGGCTGGGTGGGGGTGAACTGGGGGCTGGGTGAACTGGGGGCTGGGTGAACTGGGGGCTGGGTGAACTGGGGGGCTGGGGGGCTGGGAACTGGGGGTGAACTGGGCTGGGTGAACTGGGGGCTGGGTGGGTGAACTGGGGCTGGGTGAACTGGGGCTGGGTGGTTATTATACATTTGTGCCTTGCTTCCTCTATGTATCCCCATCTGAGACTACACCATCCTACTCTCAATACACTCCACCATCCTACACTTACCCACCATCTACACTATCCACCATCCCCTACACTACTCCACCATCCTACACTACCCCACCATCCCTACCTCCACCATCCTACACTACTCACCATCCCGCCTCCACCATCCTACACTACCCCCACCATCCTACACTGCTCCACCCTTCATACTCCACCATCCTCTCTCCATCCACTACTCCACCACCCTGCACCTACCCCCACCCTACACCACAATACCCTACCACCATCTACACTCTCCTGCATCCTGCACTACTCCACCACCCTACACTACCCACCATCCTACACTATCCCATCACTCCTGCTCACCATCCTCACTACTCCACCATCCACTACCCCACCATCCTACACTACCCACCATCACACTACCCCACCATCCTACACTGCCCCACCATCCTACACTGCCACCATCCTGCACTACCCCACCATCCTCACTATCACCATCCTACTTCTCCACATCCTACACTACTCCACCATCCTACACTGCTCACCACCCCTACACTACCCCACCTCCTACACTCCCACCATCCTACACTGCCACCACCCTACACTGCCCCACCATCCACACTCTCACCACCTACACTCCCCACCATCCTACACTACCCCACCATCCTACACTTATCCACCATTACACTACCCCACCATCCTACACTACTCCACCATTATACCCCACCATCCTGCACTGCCCCACCATGCCACCATAAATCCTGCACTACTCCACCATCCTGCACTGCTCCACCATCCTGCCTCCCCACCATCCTGCAACACCATCCTACACTGCTCACCATCCTGCACTGCTCCACCATCCTACACTGCCCACACCATCCTGCACTCTCCACCATCCTACACTGCTCACCATCCTACCCCTTTCTCCACCATCACACTACCCACCATCCTACACTACCCCACCATCCTACACTGCTCCACCATCCTACACTGCCCACCATCCTGCACTGCCCACCATCCGCTATTCCTCCATCCTGCACTGCCCCACCGTCCTGCATATCACCATCCTCACTGCCCGCATCCACACTGCTTCACCATCTACATCACCATCCTGCACTGCCCCACCGTCTACACTACCCCACCGTCCCACACTACCATCCTGCACTCATACTCCTGCAGCATCCTACACTGCCCCACCATCCTACACTTCACCCCACCATCCTGCACTTCCTCCTGCATCCTACACTGCCCCACCATCCTGCTGCCCATCCCCTGCACTGCCCCACCATCCTGCACTGCTCCACCATCCTACACTGCCCACCATCCTACACTACCCACCATCTACACTGCCCCACCGTACACTGCCCACCATCCTGCACTGCCCACCATCCTGCACTATCACCATCCTACACTGCCCACCATCCTACACTACCCACCATCATACACTGCCCACCATCCTGCATACCCCGCCATCCTACACTGCCCCACCATCCTACACTGCCCACCATCCCACACTGCCCACCATCCTGCACTATCCACCATCCTACACTGCCCACACCATCCACACTGCCCCATCCTGCACCCCACCACACTACCCTGCCTTCACTCTCCACCATCCTACACTACCCCACCATCCTACTGCCTCCCACCATCCTACACTGCCCACCATCCTACACTGCCCCACCATCCTACACTGCCCACCATCCTACACTACCCCACCATCCTCACTTTCTCACCATCACATATCCACCATCCTACACTATCCACCTCCCATCCTGCACTACTCCACCACCCTACCACTACCCCACCACCTACACTACCCCACCATCCTACACTACCCCCACCACCTACACTACCCACCATCCACACAGCTCCCCATCCGCACTGCCCACCATCCTGCACTCTCCACCATCCTACACTATTCACCATCCTACACTTCTCCTGCATCCTGCACTTTCCCCACCATCCTACACTGCTCCACCATCCTACACTGCCCCACCATCCTACACTGCTCCCCATCCCTACACTGCTCCGCATCCTCACACCATCCTACACTGCCCCACCATCCTCACTGCTCACCATCCCACACTGCCCCACCATCCTACACTACTCCACCATCCTGCACTTTCTCCACCATCCTGCACTACCCCACCATCCTACTTTCACCACCATCCTACACTCTCCACCATCCTACACTGCTCCACCATCCTAGCCT